TAACATGCACGCACACACAATGAAAACTAAATCGATAAATAGAAAATTATCATAAACAGAAGTATAATAAAAATTCAACAGAAAAAGGGAACTCAACTAAAAACCAAATGATATGATGGAAGAGACAAGAAAATAGAATCAGATTCGGTAATCACCTCTCTTAGCCCCCAGATCAGAGCTGGTAAGAGAGGAATCACCAACATGATTGAATTCTTTGAGCTCCTTGAAATTCTCCCATGGCTTCAGCCAGACCTTAGCCTCATAGAGCTTATTCTTCCCAGCGTCAATGGCCTCCAAGGTAAGATGGTACAGAGTACCAGCCACCACTTGCTCTTTCGCCTTTACAACTCTTGCAAACTCGAGAAGAGAATTCTGCACAACACAAAACATCAATGTAAAAGGCAAACGCCTTTAAACCTACACTTTCTGCAAATTCAATAAAAGCCTAATGCACTGATAAAACCAAACAAGGAACAAAAGCAACTGGAAAAAAAAATTGAAGAGGCAAGGACACGGAAATGGAATTGATTTCAATACTAATAGCATTAACCAAATTACAAAGAAAAAAAGATATGACCCAGTAACAAGACTAGGTGGAACAATGGATCACCATATAAAACTGAATGAAACATAACGAAATTACTTAAAATTGGAAAAATAAGGGTAGAAAACCCAGAGAAAACCACCGTTAAAATTGAAAAAAAAAACCTCGCCTTCCCGTTTTTCCCTTCTCAATTAGTTGATGGTGCAAAATCAAAATAAATGACGAGGAAAAACAAGAACCATCAATAAGTTTCCAATCAAGGATCTGAACTTGAGAGAGAGAGAAGGAGATAATACGCAAAAAAATGACAGCAGATCCGGGATATACAAGGAAATCACTTTAACAATGGAGACAAAGGAGAGAGAGAAGGAAAAACCCCAACAGATAGAGAGAGATCGAAATGAATAATGCAGATGGAGACCGATCATGGATGAATGACATGGATCAATAATGCAGATGGAGACCGATCATGGATGAATGACATGGAAAAAAGAGAGAAGAGAGAGCGAGAGCGAGAGCGAGAGCGAGAGCGAGAGCGAGAGCGAGAGCGAGAGCGAGAGCGAGAGAGAGAGAGAGAGAGAGAGTCATGGATGCAAGCAAAAAGAAGATACAGGACGAAGAAACCCAGATGAAATACCAAATAACATAATTCATAAGAGAACAAATTTGTAAACCCTAGACACAGGAACCCAAGAGAGATATACAGATCCCCAAACTCAAAAAGAGAAACTACAAGCGAAATAGACGCACGAGAAAACCAGACCACGAAGCCAGAACATGAAGAAGAAAGCAAAAAAACCCAAAAACAAAATAATGTAGAGAGAGAGAGAGAGGACCGATTTCTTGTTGTGCTCCTGAACAGCGAATCGAGCAAGCTCTTCGATCTCAGCACTGTTCTGATTGCTACCCGTCACGTCCTTCAAGCCTCCAAGCGTAGACATGGCTCCCAAACTCTGCAACAAAATCACAACAACAACAGAAAAGGCAATCGATCTCATCTCTCTCTCTCTCTTCTCCCCCTTTTATGCCTTATGCCCCTCTCTCTCTGACTCTTCTTCCCCTTCTCTACCTCTCTTTCTCTCTCTACCACTTAAGATTCCACACCGTGTATTATTATTGCCTCTTCTCCGTAATCACTCTCTCTCTCTCTCTAGACTTCTATTCTCTCTCTAACTTTAAATCACTCTTTATTTTCTCTCTCTGTTCAGCTTCATGAATGAATAATCAAATCCCTTTTTATCTCTAAAAAACTAAACGTTTATTGATCACTCTCAATAAGTCTCAGAAATAATTACAAGCATCCACTCTCTCTCTAAAACTCTCCCTCTATCTCTCTCTCTTGTGTTTTCTCTCTCTAAAAACTCTCTCTCTCTCTAGCTTTGTGTGATCTTTCTCTCTAAAACATTAATGAAACCTTACCTTGCTTTGTCAATTTCCTCTACAATATTCAATTTTATCCAATCTACTTTATTTTTTTGGCTTGGTTTGTACGCATGGCCGCCACATGGATTCGTTATTAATTGTTAACTTTATCTTAGACGTTTTGAGTTTCTCACCTTTCTTGGGAAATAAAAATAAATTTTATTAAATTTTGTAAAAAATAATTTTTAAAAAATTTGGCATTAATTAAATATCAAGTTTTTATATGGCTTAGGCTATTTGAAAACTAAATAAAGCCTCACCTTAAATTTTCGTCTAAAAAACACTTTTGGTCACAAAAATAAGTATTGATGACTCTAAACTCAATTTCCAACACCAACAATAAAAATTTGAAACTCATATAATTGTACCGATCTTGTGAATCTTTGAATACTTATTTTTAGGGTAAAATTGATAACTTAGATAAATTGTTATAAAATATATATTATTTTTAGAGTTTAAAATCCCAATTTTAACACTTTTGGTCATAGAAATCTTTATGATGTCTCTAAAATCAATTTTCAACATTGACAATAATATTTGAAACTATAAATATATAATGATTTTGCAAAATTATGAACACTTATATTTAGGACGAAATGAACTATCTAGATAACTTGTTACAATACAGTATTTTCAGAACTTGAAATCCAAATTTTTTTCATAATCATAACGTTCAAGCATCGATGATCGATGTAAAGCTTTTCCAATGTTCAAACTGCAATTTTTGATGAGTTATGATGTGAGGCTTTACTTAATTTGAAAGGGTTGCAGCCCCATCAGACCATTTTCCTTAATTAAATGATACGTTTCAAATCCAATATTTATTGGTTGGATCGTCGAGGTCAAAATTGGATTCCATATTGTCGGATCCATACGAATTTAGGATCACATAAATATTAAAAAAAATTAAAATAGGGGTTTATGGTCCTAGTAATTTAGAAGACCTAATAAAATATTATATCAAATTAATAATAGTAAAAAAAAAGAAATGGGGGTTATAGAGGGGAGTAGGTCAATATTAATACCTTCTCGTAATTAGTTTGGCCCCAACTGATTCCTGATCAGGATTGGCGATACATGATCTAGAGCATTGGAATTTGAAATATTATTAAATACTAAATGGTATTAGTATATGCCGTATTCGAAAACCCCTACTCGGCCCATGTCCAATCCAAGTACTTGGCCCGAGTATGAGTAGCATATTGTCTCTAATATTATCACAATAAAACATAGTATGTGTGAGTTATTGACCTTAAACAATTAAAGTAGAATACGGTCTGTACAAGATTTTAACATTAACTAATCAAAGTAAGGTTCACACTTGATAATTGTTGAAGAGTGCATTTTCAGTGTTGGAAACCCTAAGGAAGCCTTGAAATCTATTTTCAATCCTAATTATAAAATCAATGGTGCAAAAATGGGTTGAATGAGCAAATTTATAAAGACTCGAAAGCCTTTAAAATAGACGGTCTATGTAATGTATTACAAGATGCATTATATCCAATACTTTAAATCTTTTTTTTCTGTTTTTCAAATCTATACATCTCGAGATCGAGATGATGAATTGGACGGTCCAGATACATCCATCTCTCTATGTTTCCCCACTAAGATATCTAGTAAATGGGGACATTGTGACATTAAAAGATTGCAAGACCTAGAAAGTTTGCTTTGACAATTAGTTATAAAAAGATGGCTATATCCCCCAACGATAAGATATTTTGACTTCCTTTCTTGAATAATAATAATAATAATAATAATAATAATAATAATAATAATAAGTTTAGATATTAACCACGGTTGACATCATTCCGAAAATTTTGTAGAGGCATTGGGCGCCATTATATATTTTTGAGAGAGAGTTTAATTAATTTACCAATAGTAGGGTCCTATAAAATTATCGTATTAAGGATAATTTATTCAAATATCAAAAATGAACTATTCAATATTCTACTCATTTTTTATTGCATGGTTTCTAAATACCAATCATATAATGGGTGGAAAAGCTGCAACGCTCTTCTAGGTACGAACGAGTGTACTATGGTCCCTGGGGAGCACGTACTGTACACTTACTCCCTTGGGTGTAGAAAATTAATTTGGGATTTTTTTTAAAAAGAAAAAATTAGGGAACTACCTACTTTTTATATATAGTTTTATATCACTTAGATATCATCATTCAAAACAATCATTAATAACATTTCAAGGGCTACTTTTTCTTGCTTGTTTCACTTAGGTACCAACTTAAATAAATTTTAAAAAATCCTAAGCAGCCATTGTGTTTGCATTGAAAATGAGGAACAATCAGGTATTTCAGCAATTTGACCTTCCAAGAGGCCCCAACGTAATAACAAAAAATGTCCATTATTGTTCCTTATACAAATAAATAACACACTAGCAATAAAATTAAGTATAGCATGAAGTTGCATCCCAAAATTTGGGTCTTAAAACACCCATAAATCGAGTTTTACTCAAGGGAGTAAATGGATGGTATACACGAGTATAAATATTAAAATAAAATTCTTAATTATTATAAATAGATATTAAGTTTGGCTTATTTTATTTATGAAAAAAATTTATATAAGGTTGCAACCTTAAAATGTATAATTATATATACATCTCAAAAATCCATCGGAAAAGGTTGTTTGATCTTTAAATAATTTATAATTGATCATCTCGACATCGAGATGTATGAATATGAAAAAAAAAAAAAAAAAAAGATTTTGAGTCCTAAAAATAATGCATATCCCATTATCTAGACCGTCCATTTTCAAGATTTTCATATGGATATATATCTATTTGATTTTAACCATTTTTTAAATTTAAAATCTTGATAACCATTTTTAGATTTTGAGATAATCCTAATAACTTTTGTCACCAAAATTATATGTTATTATACAATTTGGAGGTATGCCTGGATCGTTTACTCTTGCAACCTTATAGAAACCACAAACTTATTTATTAGCAAAGCATGTAAGGCACATACTTCGTAGCCAAGGAAAAGACTTTTTGACTATGAGCCGCATGTGGGCCACGAGTAAGAAGCCACTACCATTGGCCGCACAAGGGAAGTAGCATAAGAGAATTTTTTGAGCCAAAAGATTTCATATTCCCTCAGTCGTCTATATTGTTCATTTATTCCCTTGGACAAAACACATGCTAAAATTATTTTCCGGATCCCAAAATTTGGAGATGGAATATCTAGAACCCATTGATCAACCTCATAGAAAAATTAATAAAACTATCACTTTTTAAGTGACTAAAAGAAATGACATTCTAAGATTGCCAAGGAACTGTCCAATTTTTTGTGGGAAATTCTAGAGTTCAATAACTCAAAATTTAATTATTTTTCTTTAAAAATAATCATCAAGTGATGTTTAGATGGATGCCAAAATTTTGAATAAAAATAATTTGTTTTGTTGGAGAGAGTGTTTATACAGTATAATCCTACACGAGCATGCGATACAACGCTCATTTAATAAAACCACTTATTTTGGTAGGAGTTATAATCATACAGCCCATTGGATATGCAATCATGCAGCTAGGGATGTCTCACTGACCAAGCTGCTTAAATTATTTTGAGAAAAATAAGAAAAAATATATCTGTGCACTTTATTTTGAGGTTCCTTTTCCAAACAGACCAAGGTTTAAAAATATTTATGATAGAGATATCACATAATATATCTTACTTTCGTATCAACTTTATCCTTTTTGACCATACTTTTTTTAGCCCAAACAAAATTAAAAAATATTAATCTTTTTTAAACCCATCTCTTTTAACCATACATTTTTAGCTCAAACAAAATTAAAAAATATGCTTCATTTTTTAAAAAACTAGTGAGTGAGGAGGGGTTTAAAAATAATAAATCTTCCTTAATTTTGTTTGTGCGAACAAAGTGTGGTCAAAAGGGATAAAATTGATCCAAAGAATAAAAAATACTTTATATGATTTCTAGGCCTTCATAATTATTTTCAAACCATCTATTGAGAAAATGAAACTTCAAGATAACGTGTGCGAATATATTTTCCCCAAAAAAAAAACTTTACAGCAAATCGTTAACTATTAGATTTTATAACTTATGGCTAAGTATCAAACCATAAATGTATATTTTTAGTAGGAAATGAAGATAAGAGTCCAGGGAGAAAGCTGAGGAAGTTGGCTTTCTTTGCATCTAAGTTTCCTTAAAGTCTTTGCTTCAATAATTATCTATCCATAAAATGCACATGTTTTGACTATCTCCCTTATGCATGGAGACCTTTTGAGAAAGGGAAACTCTCCATTGCATCTTGTGGACAGTAGCACAAGCACAGTCAATTAAGATCTATACAGTTTTTTAGTTTCAAATGTTATTGTCAATATGTTGAAAATTGATTGTAGAGGTTTTTGTTGCTGAAAGTACTTTTTGGATAAATATTTTTGGTGAGGTTTTATTTTATTTTCATAAAGCCTATGCCTTATAAAAACGTCATTATTTAATAAAGAGAATGGATGCTGTCAATCCACGGGCTGACTGCTACAGTGTCAGCTAATAGCTCAAATTGAATGTGGACCGATTTGATAGTCACGACTTTATTTCGTATTTTAATTTTATTTTTTTCTACAAATCCAAATCATTTGAAATTTTAGGCATATATTCTACTCGTTAAGGCGCACCTAATAAAAATATAAAAAATAAATAATTCATACAATATAAATTGACCAAAATACCCTAAAAAAAAATCTAGGGGTATTTTGGTCAATTTATATTTTTCGAATTA